TTGGAAAAGCCAAGATTTAAGTTGGAAAAGCCAACTTTAAAGTTGGAATTATCAACTTTGACGTTTCGTAAAGGACATGAATGCTTTGGTCTCTTCATATCACGAAAACAACGAGAATCAAGCCCACACGAAAAATTAACGATTTCACAGTACATCGTGGCATGATTTTGGTTTCTTTTTCAAAAGGGGCTAGTCTGATATCTGATGATAGTGTTAAGATTGATGAATGGACTGGAAACAAATATTACAATTACAGGTACTTTTGAATCTATGTACTAGTACTTAATGAGACTTTTTCCGTCTTTCTTCATCACCCCAAAATTCATGCTTCTTCACAGCATGATCCTCAATGATATATCAAAGTAACTGCGATGTATCAGCTGAAGAGGAAGGACTGTAGGCAACCTAAACATAGCATTTCAGTATAAACGAGGCTTAAGAATAATACCAAGTATCAAATTCAAATTTCATAATCGTATACCCATGTTTTTCCCCTTTTTACATATGTTGAAATCATGAATTGCAAGTACCCAACAGTTGTACAGTGATGTTCTTTGACCCTTTGAACTCAACTGCGTTCCCTGTGGGCACAATGTAACATTGAGAAACATGTCATACGACATATAACTGAAAGCAGCTCTGCAGTCTGCTATTTCAAGCAGTAGAGTACATGTATGTCACCAAGAACTGGTCCCCTATGCTGCAATAATTGGAGTTGGTGATTAAGATTTATGTGCACTTTCATCAAGATTTTATAAGCCGTCTGCGAGAACATCCCCGAACAAATTTATACGAGGAAGAAACACAAAATGACATCCCGACTTCGTTCGGGATGACATATAATAATAGAAATGCTGATTGACAATTGTTACAAACTGTTTAAAGTCAATCATAAGCACTTTATAAAATTGAATAACAAATAAAGCACACTTGCTATTTTTAAACATCTGTACATTTTTCCACTTAAAAGGAAACTCATTATATATATGTTAAACTAATTTACTAAAACCAAGAGAAAAAAAAGTGCATTGATTTTGTATAAATGTCTTTTATGAAAAGATGCTGAGAATTTTAAAGATCAATGTCTTATAAATCCTATGAAATAAACATCGAAAAAGGGCAAAAACACGAACACGTTCATTTTAATTGGTTACGATTATTAATAAATATTCATGAGGGAGTAGTCCCAGGGAGTAGCTCCGATTTTTCAGAAAGTAGTCCTCAGATGAGGGAAATAGTATCTTCTCAAGGAAATAGACAGTTTTATGGTATTAATTTTATACAGAGTAATAACAGTAGAGGTATAATACCATCTTATAACGCACCAAAAATAGACACTTATTCCCAATATAAACCGTTTTAGGGATGTTGAAAGGAGTGATTTGAGCAATGTCTGATTTTTGTTTTTTTTTAAAACAGTGTATGGATGTTTGTCTGAAATACAACTTTTAGCTTTATTTTTCAAAGCTGAAGCTTTCTGCCAAAGTTAAATTACCAGGGAGGGCACACATTTATACGCGATTTGCATCTTATTAAGGGAATTTAATAATGTAATAATAGAATCAACAATTAACCTTAAAGTATTGAATGAAGAATATACTTAATTAAGTTTAAAGCTGAGCCTATTTTTGTTTTGTTTTGTTTTATTGGCTATTGAATCTGCTAGTATTGAAAATAATTGAACCAAACCAAAGTCGTCATGAAGTGTTCCAATTCATTCACCGCATTGAAAGGAACCAATGTCTGATACAGGCACGTATTAACCGGTTTGAATGATGCGATATGTCTCCTAATTAAAAAAAATATAATACTGTATGGGGCATTCAGAAACAGAATTAATTTGATAAATTATAAATTATACACAAGTGTCCTACGGCCGTATTCAATTATAGATAATGGTGTAACATATAATGGTTATACAATAATGTAGCCCTCTCTGATATTTTTATCTGGTATTTTCAGGAGAGGGCTTAAATTCCATGCACAGGATATCCGTAATGCTGCAAATATATTTTTTGGATACTCCCTTACAAAAAAATACTATAGTAATCTATAGTTAACTATAGTTAACTATAGTGATAACTTTGACACCATGAAAAATATAGTTTAACAAATATAGCCCCCCCCCCCCCGCAAACTATTTTCCAAACATAAATTTCTGCTATTGAAAATGTTCATTGGAAGGGCAGTTGCCCCCCCCCCCCCCTGCCCACTTTTTGTTGCAGTTTAGACAAATAAAGGTAATGTAGTTGTGTTATGTGTATAAATAGAAACTCGTACTGAAAGAAGTTGGAACCTACCCCACCCCCACCCCCCGGCAATAGGATTTTCGAGTTTGGACAATTTTCCTCTTTTTTGGCTATTTTTTTTCAGGAAAGTTGATTTCTTTTCTCTGTCTGCCCCCCCCCCCCTTCTCAAAAACGATGCTACGTCCCTGTTTCACACAAACTTTTGACTTGAAGTTGTAAGAACCGAGGAATCATGAATCCTTCTCTGAAAACATTCTGTGTACGGCGACAGTGCTAGGCTACTTGTAGAACCATGGTAAGTTATATAGTATAATGTAAGAAAGCATGTTGAAAGTGGCCAGACTTTCCTGCATAGTCAAAGAAATCTTACAGCAACTACTTAATTGCTTAGTCTAACGGTTCCTATGAGAGAGATTTGATGAGGGGATGGGGGGGGGGGGTGTTAACATTCGTCACTGCCAAATTTGACATTTCATTGAGGTATAATGAGTCTTTTCATGTTTTAACGACAAATTTTGCTCATTAGCATTCATTTGATAACGCAGAACTTTCACAATAAAAGTTTCGATAAATCTACATCTTGAAGCGAGGAATTGTGTCAAAACCGAAAGTGCTATGGGTAAAGCATACCAGTGGATAAAGCATAGGTAAATCTTATGGGTAGTATTCGTGCGATCAATTTTTAAAATGAGGCAAGCTATTAACCAACAAGTTGATATAACAAGGATATAAACAATCTTGTTTGAAATCACATTTCGCAAGTTCTTTGGTCGATACAATGACCTTATCAGCAAATGATACAATCTATCATTAGGTCAAATATACCGACTGACGTTTTTCATACTAATTGTTGGGCCATTATTTACACACTGAAATTTCTACGGATTTTTTCCGTTTATACTCGATCATGACAAGGAGCACACGGCGGGTGTGACCGGTCGACAGGGGATGCTTACTCCTCCATGGCACCTGATCCCGCCTCTGATGTTTTTGGAGGTCCGTGTTTGCTCTTTAAAGTTGATCATTAAAGTTAATCATATTATATAGGAAAAATTAGTAAGTCTCAAATAAATGTTCAGGAAATACGAATAAAGCACCTACTATGCATTTTCTAATTGGAAATTGATCAACAAAAACATTTTAGGATAAAAAAAACTGTAGGTATCCAGGCATTTGAAAAAAAATGGCATGATTTTTATACTTATACAGTACTTTAGTTTCTTCTGTGTACTTCAATTATTTTCTAATGCATAGTTTAAAAAGTGTTTCCTATTATTGCAATACAACTTAAATCGTTTCTTATTTCATATCATGCTAATTAGTATTATTAGTATCAAAGGTAAATATTAAAGAAAAAGTCGATTTCTTTAAATCTGTATTTGTAACATACCTTTATAGGGTAAAAATATCAACGTTTTAAAAGACTGTTTTTTAAACTTCAAAGAACCTTGAATCGCATTAAATGAAAATTGTTACAAAGAAAAGATTTCATATTTAAGATTCATTTTGAAACTTTTTGAATTAAATAATAAATTAAAGATTTATCCTTCCTGGCTGAGAATCAGATATCCTTAAGTATCACTTAAAATTTTATCTCCCCTTAGAGTATAAGCGTCTTATATAGAGAAAAAGATATCTTGTATAGAATCTTTATGGAGTCATTCTACGGGGGTCCTTTATCTTTACGTATTATAATATGGTGTGCAAATTTTAAGGGTGTACTGTAGCCGCTTTTTTATAGACCCTGAGATTCATTTTTGTACGTAGAATAATAACCAGGGATCATTTTCAAAGTCGAAAAATGAGCCAATGTCATTAAAATACGGGGGTAATTATTCCTTTTCACACTTCTTTTAAAAATGCGTGGTACAGTGAATCCGATTACGGTTGTCGTTCGCACAGTGTTCCAGATCATCGACTTTACGATATCAAAACCCTCTAAACACGGCACACCAAAGAGTTCTGGTTCTGTGGTATTTTTAAGCAACTGTATTAATCTGACCTTTGATCTAAAAAAAAGATGAATTTAAATCTACAGTGTTTTCCTCGATTTTTAATCAATTTAAGCATTCTAAGCAGTTTATTAGGCAATTATAAATAGACTGCACACTGTATTTGTATTTTCCCCACTTGAGTAAACAGCAGAGATTTCAGTTCATCAGTACCTTGGTGTCTTTAAACATTTTTCCTAATGCGTAAATGCCAGGTACCCTACATGTATGTTGAAAATGAAAAAAAGCTCAATATTTACATCTTTAAACAGTTTAATTTTCCTCAATGTAAAAAAAAATCCTTTAGTGTATTGAGGGTTCTTAAACCATGATAATACACTTATTGGTGTCGTCGTTTACTGATTTTTATTTGAAAATAAAAATATATATATATATACTCTTAGTCGAGTACTTATTTTAGTTTTAAAATAAAAATCGGTAAACGACAGTATTTAATAGTATTTTAATAACTTTCTATACATCTACAACAAGCACTGAAAGCATATTTGAGTCTGCAAAACGAATAAATAACAGAGGATACCTCTCAACGCAGCAGATTGCAATTGGTGCACAGCACATGCCATATATATCTTTAAACATTTAGAAATTTGCTCGCAAATAATTAGTCAAATTATTATTTCTTAACAATGTGTCCACTATTAAGATACCCAAATGTGAAACGAACCAAAACAGCCCATGAACTTGTCACAGGTATTGCAGATGAACCGGAACGCTCAATCCTTCCAACAGCTGCACTTCACTGCGTGTATGCACATACTGAACCGTAAATGTCTTTACAGGGTTCTCTCTGTTAAGTGACACCCTATTCATTTAAATGCCAATTACAGAAATATTTCTGTTAAGTTTTAAACCATTGTCAATTCGTCGTCCAGATTCAATGAAAGAAACAGCCTCCAGCACGATCGGGTGGAAGTGAATAATTAATTACCCGAGTGATACGCAGACAAAATGGCCGACTTCGGATGGACGATGCAAACAATTTGTAAATATAAAAGAGTATGAGAATTTATGTGGAAATTAATTTGCCCGAGCGCACAGAAGTTGCTCAGTGAATTGAAAGAAGTTTGGAAATTTCAGGACAATAAACCACAAGAGGTTTGTGAATAGTTCTTAACATTGAATCAAAAGAAACCGGCTCTGTTTCCCCTAATATATTATTAATTTTGCATATACAAGTTAAGAATAACTGCAATGCCTTAAACAGCTTTGCAACAGCTTTTATGCCATCACAGGCCTTAGAACGCGTAGGGGGGGGGGAGTCCCCCCTACTTTTTTCTGAGTATAGTATTTTGCCATAGTAAATTTTCCTTTAGGTGCTGGTTGCCCCCCTCCCCTTTTCGATGTTGTAAGGTCGAGCACTGGCAAATTCCAGGATCTGGACAGAAAATTAGTTGGGTTTTTTTTTGTTTTGCTTGTCAGATAATTTTGGGAAGTTCCCCCCCCCCTCCCACTTTAAGTCAGCTTGTCAGATTTTTTTTTCGGAAGTTGGCCCCCAATTTTGAAACCGTGGCTACGGGCCTGCATGATTGCAATGTGCTATTCTATCTTTTTAATGTTTGTTTTGCTGGATTTTGTAATTTGTTTAGGGGGAAATAGACATGTTAAAATACCAATTCAAATCAAATACCCTGATCGCATTTACTACTTAATAAGAGCTATTAGGTTCACGCATGATTTATATTTATTTCACAAGAAACTGACCCATTTGCTATTATGAAAGGAATGGGCTGGTATTATTTTAAGAATATACATGTAGCTACAAGGCTAGAGTTAATTGCAAAATTTATATCTATTCTGTATTAGATTATTGAAATGAAAATTTCACTTCAGTTATTAGACTGGTGAAGATATAAGTAATTATACCGCACATAATAAAATCCCATTTAAATGTAAACATTTAAACAAGGAATCTGAATTAACATTTAATCAAGGAATATGGCTCCTTCGGTATTGGAAAACAGTGTTATATTCAAACGCAGTGGGAAAAATGTAATTGAATCGAACCGATCCATGTATAAAAATCATTATTTAACGAAAGTGTCTTCTCTTTTTATCTTTTCTTTTTACTAGTAATCGCACAGGCGAAAAAGCATGTTTTTCTTCGCAGAAATATGTTATATTAATCTATATATATATATATATATATATATATATATATATATATATATATATATATATATATATATATATATATATATATATATATATATATAGCCTTGAACAGTGTCATGAATATCATTAAAATCGCCCCCCCCCCCCCCCCCCCGGGGAATTCTATCCTCAATTAACTCTTTCATTGTTGAAAGAAGCATTTATATATTAACAGTGTTCAAATGGCGTGATATTAATTATTTAAGAAATGAAGCTTATTTTAACCTATGTTATATGATATAACATAACTTGGGGCAGTTTACGCTTTATAAACTGCTTCAAATTGAGCATATTTTGAAAGTAACGTCAAGCGGAATAATACGTTTTTTACGTAACTCATTGTGACGTAGGCAACTTATTTTATACGATATGAACGAAATCTTTTATCCAATCAAACGACGTGTTACAACTAAAATTAAATTATATAAATATATAATTTTTGGATGAAAAGTCATCCACTCATGTTAATGACTTTTATTTGATTGTTACGTAATAATCCAGCTGATGATTGTGTTTTTGTTTAATTTTCCAATTATCGATCCTTGCTTTTAGCCTTCTTATTCTCTCTCTCTCTCACGGATTGAGGTGTGTTTTCTTGAATTAAGTAAAACTTAGAATCAGTTGACATCTTTCATATTTACTATGTATATGATGGATATAAATTAATTTATAGTACATGTACATTGTGGGGGATGCTGATGTGGGGGAGGTCAAGTATATTCTTTAATCTTTAAAGTTCTTATATATGTACGATGTAACTTAATTCATTAATCATAGACAATGATAATGAGAAAATTTAAAGATACATGAAAAATATCTCGCAATGAATTCAAAGGAAAAATTAAAAAAAAACAAAAACCTGTTATTTTAAGATTTGACCATATCGGGGTCTTAATTTAATAATGCTAAAAGTGCTTTGTAATGATACTTCCAACAAAATTAGGTCTTCATTTAAAGATCTTATTTAAAATTATTTCTTTCTTGTTAAGCTAATAGCTAAACAAAGAATTTTTCACACATTATTTTCATTAAGCGTTCACTTGAACAAACTTGCATCCCTTTACCCTATAGTTTTGGTTAAGTATGGTTAATTATGCCCATGATTTAAAAAGACTATGAAAACAAAACATTCCGTAATTGTTCACTAGAAACATAGTGTGTATGGTATTGATTATTCAGTTGTAACGATACAGCTATGATCAATAATCTACCTGTACATTTGCTGTATATACATATTACATTAATTCTCCATTCAATAACTAGACAGCACTGCTGTGGATATTTTCTGTGTTCGATGTCACTTACCTCACACTGTCCAGTTTCATCTCTCTATGTTTTTAAAAAAAAAGAAAAAAAGAAAAAAAGAAAAAAAAAAAACTATAAAAAACTATACTGTGTTTTCATTTTTAAAGTTCTGGTCTTAAAATAATATTAAAAAAGATTTTGATGAAATTGTCATCGAGTATATAAAAATGATGTCATTATTTCGATGCAATGTGTTTTTATTTTGGAGTATTTTACTTCTATACGATTTCAGAGTAATACAAAGGTTTTGAACTTTTAAACCTAGTGTAGTGCACAGGATTATGATTTACTTACTACATGCTAGACATCGTCGACACTATGCAGAAGTATTTGGTCAGGTTTCAAAGTTTGGTCATGGAACATTTACCTTGCTAGCTATATATAGGATCAAGTCTGTGTAATTATAAGTATGACAAACCTGTACTGTCAGTGGGAATTCAAAGCAGATGGACGTAAGAAGATGGGCGTACTTGGCGTGCGATCTGCAGGAATCATGTGTCCGAAACATTTATGGTTTAAATGTCCACGATTTGGTCGGCTGACCAGAAGAGGACAGACTTTACAAAGTTACGCACATAGGATTGAAATATTTTAGTCCACTTATCTTAATAGTTACGATAATAATGTAATACTTCATATGAATAATAAACACATAACAAGATAATAGGGTATGATATATGAAATGAAGTTTCAGTAGGTTTGAAAAATTGCTTTCCCTCCCCGTGCAACTGAGCCAAAATTTATCTCTTTTTCAAACTTGTAAATAAAGTAAATAAAATTCAACTGATAAACGACTTGATTGTTTGTAAAAAGGTAAAAAAAAATTTTTATTGGTGACAATCCTCCATGCAAAGATCGAACCAAAAACTTCTCGACTCCTAAGTGCGCTGCTATCATCGCTACACAAGCACTTCGGAATTTAAAGTAACAAAGAAGCAACGCATTAACACATTGGTTTTTCTTTTGGAAAAAGTTTATTTTTTTTATAGTCTCTAGGTCTTCTCTCCATTTTTTTTTTTTTTTTTTTTTTTTTTTACAAATGTTTGTTCGTTTCTTTGAATACAAATGCACACAAATGTCTTTTTAAAATTGTGGAGAGATGACCCAGAGATAGCAAATTTTTAGAAAAACTTGTTTTAACGTGTGTACCAAATGACTGCATCTAGCCATGTTTCAGGTTATTTTTAAGGAAATCAAACCACACTATTGGGAAAATGTTTTCCTTTCCTATTTCATAGGAACATGATACATCAAAAGAATTTAATTTTACAGTTCATTAAAGTTTTCACTTTTCAAGTGCGCCCCGATTCCTGCCGAATGTCAATCAAAAGTGGACTCGTTCTTTAGTGTGCTCTGCAGGAATCATGTGTACGAAACATTTGCAGTTTAAATGTCCAGTCAAGCAGACGATTTGGTCGCTTTCGCTCTCGGTGCAACTAAACCAAAAATTCATCTACTAGTATTTTAAAATTTTAGTAAATCAGTAATAAAATTAAACTGACAAACAACTTGAATGCTTGTATATATTAAAAAAAAAAATAACACCCATGCGAGGATAGAACAAAAAACTTCTCGATTTTTTAGTGTTCTAGACTAGTAACGCTCACTAACGAGCTGTTATGGCTACCAAACCACATGAATTTTAAAATGACAATGAAGAAATGCATTTAACAATGGATTTTTTTAAAAAGTTCAATTTTTATTATCTCTGGGTATTCCCTCAATTTTTTAAAAATGTTTGCTCGTTTCTTTGAATTAAAATGCACACAAATAACATTTCAAAATGCTGGAGAAATGAGCCGGAGATAGCAAATTTATAGAAAAAAACGTTTTTTAAAAATGTAACCAAATGACTCATCTAGCCATATTTCAAGTTATTTTTTAACAAAGCAAAACATAATATCCCGGAAACATTTCTCATTCTTATTTCACAGGAACCCGAAACATAAAAAAAAAGCTAAAATACACTGTAGACATGAACAAAATAAAATAATCAAATAATTAAGAAGTTGACCAAATTGATAGAACTTATACTTTATTTATAACTAGTATTTATCGTTAAAACTAACAAACAGCTGCAAACTGGATCACAAGGTCACAAGGTCTATTATAATTTTTAGTTTTTATCCGGGAAGGTTCTGTACGGTTGCACATTGTAAAATGTGGAAATATGCATTAATGAATGCATTTGACATATTTTACTGTCCTTGCATTATACTAGTATTTAGTCTAGTGTATAAAAAGATCTCGTAAGATTCTCTTTCTCCTATTGACATCAGTCTCTCTCCCGACTTATTTAATTAAGAAATGTATTTCAGTGTTAAAAGTTCAAGAAGACATGACTCCAAAGAAGATGGGTGAACAAGGCGGGCGAAGTGCCTATATATAGTGCGACAAACATGAAGTGGAAAATAAAATCTCAATTATATTTGCCTACGAAATAGCATACACACACTAAAGAGGACAAAAAAGATCATTTTCTCACACTTAAACAAAATATTTCGATATGAGTGGGTCTTCGCTCCATTTTTTTTAAAGTTAATCCTAAAAGTCTGCATAAAAATTTACATTTTTTTGCTTACAAAAACATGGAGCAAAGACCCACTATATTTTAAAAGTACACTTTTATGACAAAGCATTGGCATCTTTCCCAGAAATACTTGAAGTTCATTAAGTCAAGGATCACATCACAAACATGATTTAAATGTCACAAGTCAGCATGACTTGTGTAGTCTAGTGGTTAGCGTATTAGTCTCAAAGCAATTTATTATGATACTCCGGAATACCATTTTATTTTATTTTTTTCTTTATAAAAGAATAATTTTTTCGAGATCTTTTTTTTTTCTCAGAAAAGTTTTGTTGATCACAATATCATAAATTTCAATAATGAGAAGCTTACTTTAAATACTTAATTCACAAATTGAATATGATTTTTTCAATATCTGAAGCTTTAGGCATTCTGCACGCCTTGTTCACCCATCTTATTTTTCACTCAGGCATATTTCATAAAGCGGTTAGCCTTAGAAAAGTATAGTTACATTCTAAATATTCATTATATATTGTATTTCAAACACACGGAAGTAGACAAACTTGATTTATTTCCTCATTTTTGCTTACGTAGTGCCGCATGACTGCACTGTCACTCAGAGCTGAGAATATTGACTGCAGTTTATTGGGATGTGAACTTAGAATTCTTAGACATGAATATTAAAGGTAATCAGAACTTAATATGTAAATATATTTTGGATGCATATGAATTTCTAGAAAATTGTCGTCCATTCATAAAAAAGAAGCTAAAGAAATTTTGGTGTTTTGTAGTGTTTTGTAGAATATTGACAAGAAAAAAGTGAAAAAACACATGTATTAATGTGATATGAATAAATATAACATTCCTTGGACCTATTTCTATCACTATTTACAACAGTATAAATACACCCCTTTTTGAATTTGTATATCTCTCAGCAACCTATATAAAAATCCTCATATCAATTACATCATTTTAATAGAATTTCAAGGTTCAAATAAATTATATTCATAGTTTTATGCTGACGACTAACTTAACCTTTCAATATTTTATGTATATTTGTGTTTTGTTTACATTTTTTTAAATGTAGTATTTTAATTGACTGTGTAGACCCTTACAGCGTCCCCTGCTTATTTTCCCTGTTGAGAACCTCAGTGCCATTGTGACAACCTGATTGGTCGAAAGTAAGTCGAACTTTGTATAGTTCGTGGAGAGATGTAATTAAGCAGAGACTGACAATTTTTAAAAAAAAAACCCTTCTAACTCCCTTTTTACAACGAATGTTTTAGAGCCTTTGGAGCTCACCTTCTGCCACGTACAATTATTTTACTATTCATGTTTGCATACAAATATAAAAGTATGGGATATTGTAATTTTGATGAATTACACTATGTGATAAATAAGTCGAGGTCATAAATTTTGGCGCATTTAGTAAATCTCATTTTACTTCCACGTTCCAGGTTTAAAGCTTTAATGCAAAAATTTTCAAGTTATGGCCTGACTTTTTCAAAAGTTGACTTTGATCAAAGAAATGCATGGGTCAATGTCAAAATTTTTAGTACAGAGAATTATGGCCTGGATGTGTTTTTTAATTGACCTTTATGTAGGAAATAGGCCAAGGGAAAAATGATTCAGAACATCTCATCTTAGTCTCATTATTCTATGTTTCAAGTTTGAAGTCATGTCAAAGGAACCTCAAGTTATGTCTCTGAATATATTTTTTAATAAAATAGGTCAAGGTAAAAAATTGTAATGCAGTGCACATCTCATCTTAATTTTATCGATCAATGTTCAAAGTTTTAAAGTTTAATGTCAAAGTTTTTTTTTAGTTATGACCCACACCTTTGTTTTATTTGAACTCGATTGAGGAAATGGGTCAAGGTGAAAAATTTTGGAGCAGTGCATCTTGACTTACTCTCAAATTTGAAGGCAAAATGTCAAAGGGTTCTCAATTTATGGACCCGGCAAAATTTGGTTAAATAAAAAGAAGAAGAAAACTGACAAAAAGTGTCTCCCCTTTGAAGGTGAGACATCAAACATTCTAACAAATGTTCGAATAGTAGCACTTTGCATGCAAAACACGTTGAGTTTTGTCACTTTGTGTTCCAATGATCTTTAATTACTAAGTATCTGTCCAATTCGTCATTTCTATTTATGATTTACGATCGCAGTCATTTTCATCAGTATTTATGTCATTTGATAAGTGATCGTATATGGGTAATGAAAATATGAGCTGAATTATACAAGTTTTAACGATTAAAAAAAAACCGGTTTCCTTAATTTTCCTCCTTGACGAGGAAAATTTCTATTGACAGTACATGTATAATATATCGATGTACAAACTTCAGAGCAGTGTGCAATAGAACGAATATGAAATGGCGATTAGAATAAGATATAGTTCTGGACCTTTCACGTGTTTAACATATGCATGTAATAATTAATAACCTTTAACCATAGGTTTTTGCTATAAAATGCTTTAAGATGTTGGGGCTTTGTGTCGCATTGATTCAGATATACTAATGAGCAAAGCTGTTTTTAAATTCTTGTTAGTTAACAATTAAAAGTTAACAAATAAATTCACAGGTACTTGTGGACAGGACCACCCCCCCCCCCCCAACGGAAGTACATAGAGAATATATTACCTTTTATGATAACACCCGAGAGAGATTATTACGTCATGCCAAAACTCTCTCGGACGTTATCGTAATAAGTGATACATTCTTGGTGTACTTCCGTTGCGTTTACCTAAGGATTTTTTAACGCACTGACTGCAATGCTGTTTAAGGAGAAATTGTGGGATTCTTACGAGAGGCAGAGTCAATCTGTTAACTTGAACTGAGACAGAAATATATGTAGAGACAGTGTGAACCGACATTTTAGGTTAAAATAAAATAAATACATGTTTTTAAACCCAGAAAGACCAGTGGGGGTACAACGTAAACAACCGGAGTGGCATACCTTTCTCTCTTATAATGTATATAGTGGGGTATTTTTGTGTGGAACGATTATTTTGGGGTTTTCACGATATTTTCCTAAGGTACACATGATGAATAAGTGTAATAAATATAATTTGTGAAAAAAAATGTCCAACAAGCCCAGGGGTTGAATATTGGGGGGGGGGGGGGGTCCTGTCCACAAGTACCTGTGAATAAATTATATCAGATAGAATTTAAGGCAATTTGACGGTTGATAGATAAATACTCTGTCACTTGTCCGCAAAAATCGAGAATCTTTATATCTGCCTGATCTTTAAAAGGTATTAAAGTGGCGTTTCAATAATTATTATTTTAATGAATTTTTGATGAATTTTCAGCGTCTTTATTTCCAAACGTGTAGAAAATGATAACTAGAGATTTCTTTTGCTAAGGGATTTACTAGTATGATGTCTTCTCTTCTTGACAGTTTATGCAGCTACAATTGCGAATGAAAAGCAGAGATGAGAAAAAAACAATGTAAAGTGGTAATACTAGTGTTGGCTCTGTGCTTCCTTCTTCACTATGCATTTTACAAAATTTTGTATAACCCAGAAGTAACTTTCAGTATTCAAGAAAGAAAAGCAATTAAAATGGTAAAAGAAGTGTGGACCAATTTAAACAGTGCCGTTAAAACAACAGATGACGACAAATCTAGGTACAGCATTATGTTTTATAACATGCCTTCTTGGATGACAATGGAATATAATAATCTGAATTTCGCTACTTGTCCACAGTTAAAACACGAATGTTTTGTCTACACTAAAAACAAGTACTTTGACTCCTCAAAGAGCATTATTTTCTTTGGAGAAGATCTACCTGCACAAGTTCCGAAAAAGAAAGAAGGGCAAATTTGGTCATTCTTTTCAATCGAGTCTCCATTTCTATTTTCGGTACCTCAACAATGGAAGGATAAATTTACATGGACAATGACATATAGAAGAGATTCGGATATCACTGTTTTTTATGGAAAAGTAAATAAAAGAGAGATTCCCCTGATACGGAATTACTCAGAAATATTCCGAAAAAAGAAAAAGACCGTTGCCTGGGCAGTTAGTAATTGTAAAACGTCTTCAAAACGGGAAGACTACATCCAAAAGCTTCAGAAATATATTGATGTTGATATATACGGCAAATGTGGAAAACTTAAATGTGGTAGAAAATCAGCCGCAGTAACTGAGTGTCACAAAAAATTCGCGGAAGAATACAAGTTCTTCCTTGCTGTTGAGAACTCAATATGCAAAGATTACACAACAGAGAAATTATTCAACTTTTTCTTTCATAATCTTACCATGATACCTATCATCAATGGACCACAAAACGTTCACGAATATATCCCCAGAGGAACATTTATAAACATACTGGATTATTCTTCGCCGTCAGAACTAGCAAAGGACCTACATCGGATTGGGTCAAACGAAACGCTTTATTCTGAATATCTACAACAGAAGGACAAGTATCGTGGTGTCAGATTTAACTGGGGGGTAGCTTTATGTCCAATGTGTGCTAGATTACATGATAGAAAACAGGATGAACATATTCCTGATATTCATTCTTGGATCTGGAATAATACCTGCATCAAACCATAATGATATCCCACTATACGTACGTCTAATAGACATGCTTTATATACTTGCATTGTCTAAAAGGATGCAAACTATTGACAAACAAGTTGATAAAACAAGGATATCAACAGTCTCGTTTGAAGTCATCGTCTCGCAAGTTTTACGGTCGAGACAAGGACCTTGTCAGCACATACAACCTATCAATAAGTCAAATGGTGACTGGTGATTTTCATACTAATGTTAGGCCATTACTTATACACTAAATTATCTACGGATTTTTCCGTTTTTTTAATTTTTCGATCATGACAAGGAGCACACGGCGGGTGTGACCGGTCGGCAGGGGATGCTCACTCCTCCATGGCACCTGATCCCACCTCTAAATTTTGAGGTCCGTGTTTGCTCTGCTCCAAATATTCATTAATATATATATATATATATATATATATATATATATATATATATATATATATATATATATATATATATATATATATGAAACCTTTAAATCATAATTGCTCAATTTTCATTTGTTTTTTTAAGTGAAGGTTAGGTTTCCCAATGAAATGTTAAGATGACGAACGAAAATCGTGCTCAAAGTACAATTAAACATTACAGAGCAAAGCAAGCAGGACTGAAAACAACAGAGAAGGGATCAGGTGCTACAGAGGAGTAAGCATCCCCTGTCGACCTGTTACACTCAGCATGAGCCCTTTGTCTTCATCCGGTGAACGGTGTAATCCGTACACAAATCATTATGAAAGTATTTTTGTAACAATTTGTATTAAAATCGTCAGTCAACGTTTCAACCTAACGACAAGTTGTGTTTGCAAACAAGGGCATTGTATCATTCGTTAATTGTGTTTGAGTGTAAATTATTTTCAAAAGACTGGTAGTCGGGGGTAGATGCTCTCTGTGTTTTCCAAATCATACTATTATTACTATTTTTCTACATTGTCATCTGCTTTGAATATAGTCAGTCCAGTGCATATATAATTCAAAGGATTTTCTGCATCAATTTTCTTTTCTTTAAGCTGTGTAGGATTTATTACCATAGATTATTTCTAAAATAATAAACATTTTCTTTGTTTCAAATATTCAAAATGTTGGCCTGTTTAGAAAAAAAAAAACTATTCAAACATGAATTGACATCAATGTATGTGTGTTTCTTTGCGGGAATTCTTAAATCTCTTATCAGAAATGATTGTTATCAGAAAAATAGGTATTTTAAAGTCATTTCATTGTTTAAGCTAAGATGACTAATTTTGAAGGTTTATATTTACACGTTTCCTCATCTTTATTTTATTTTTTTGGTTGGTTGCCGCTGTTTTCATAAAAGAAAAAATCATTGTACTCAAATACTGAAAATAACATATGAATAGAAATAGGAGGAAATAAAACTGTAATTTAAAAAAAGGACCGTATACTTATTTTGGTCAGACTAAACGAAAATAACGAACAACATTGTAAAATTATAAGGTCTGTTTTTCGTTTTTACATTTTTAAGGACAGGTCAGAACAACTGGACTTTAGAGCACATGCACCCTTAAATAAGTTATACTTTATTTCATCAAAATTATACCATTTATTCAAGTACTAGTATACCAGTCTTTAAATAAGTGGCTTTTTTCTTCAAAGAATAGAAAGTAAAATCGAATTGAACCTATGTTTACTGCATCAACTTAGAACAACTACATTCTGTAAACGTTCTTGGAAAGAGGTGCATATACTTGAGGAAATATTCATTTTGCAGTCATTCCATATTTAAAACATGTGTATAGGCAATTTTATTATGTTATTTCTATATTGTTAAGTACACTGTAGTTTCTTTTATACTAATCATGCCCTTTTAATAATTTGATGAACAACACTGTTTGTATTCAATAAATATAATATACAGATACCTTCCAATTTTCATGATGTATAAAAGTTTAAAAGATCGCAGTAAAGTTAAGCATAACGATATGCCAGCAAAAATGTAGAAAAACCACGCATGCGGCCATTAGAATAAGTTAGATGCCTTTCAGGGTTTTGTTAGATGTATCTGCCTCATGCATAATCTTAAGGAAGATAGATGGTAAATCACTGGTGTATGTATGTGTCTATCTCTGTTTTCAAATATCATAATAGTGTACCTGCCATTCATGCTGTGATATTGTAAATCCCACAGCAAGTGTGTGGTTTCATAATGCTGTGATACAAACTTCAATGCATTTGTAATTTCCTCTAGGCAGGTGTTTTTGATCTACTCCATTACTTAAGTGGGACAGAAAAAAGTACTCGGCTTGCGATTTTATGCATTGGCGTGTTAAAAAATGATTTTCTGTTGTCTGCTCTAGCTTCTAAACAAACTTTCTATAGTTGGAGAAGCTACAGGGTTGAAGAAAGAAAATGTTTTACACAAAGGAGATGGGCAAACAAACCGAGAAAAATGCCTGGTTCGACAAAGAAGAAAATAAAATAATATTGAATCTTAATTATAACACAATTTTTTTCCTCATATTTCATTTAACATTAATGTATATACTTTGCGTAAAATCTCCACAATTTGCAATAATCCTACGAGTGTTGAATAACTATTCTATGAAATAGCATACACAGACCAAGAGGGTACAAATAATCATTTCTTCATTCCATAACACAATTTTTTCGATGTAAGTGGGTCTTTGCTCAAATCTTTTTTTTTTTTTTTTTAAAGTATATCTTCAAAGTATGTTTCAAAATATACATTTTTGCTTAACAAAAACATGGAACAAGAAACCACTCTACCTTAAAAATACACTTTTATGACACAAAATTCGTATCCCTCTGAGAAATATTTGAAGTCTAGTTATTCAAGGGTCATATGAAAAACGAGATTTAAATGTCATTACCTGTTAGGATGTATTTGGTGTAGTGGTTAGCATGTCAGTCTTAATGAATAAACTGAAACTCAGCTAGGAATTTATTGCTTGAATTGAGTTCAAATCCCAAGATATCCTTATTTTTTTTTAAATCGTAGAATAATTTATAACGAAAGAATTTTTCCGCAAAAAAGTTTTGTTTGTCATAATGTCAGACTTTTCAATAATTAAACCTTCGCTTTAAATATTTGATTCACAAATTGAATTTGATTTTTATACAATTAAAGCAATGAGCATTCTGCACGCCCTTTTCGCCCATCTTCTTACAAAACAAAAAATATATAAATTTTAATATACATGTAAGTGAAAGAATATTGTATTGCGCCGGTCTTTATGGTGTTAACGAAGTTTACATAAAACAATATGACGTATCAACCCTGATAATGGAACCTTTGTTGGTTTGATTAAGAATATATAGTAAAAACTGGAGTGTTAAAGGGCTCTAAAGTTTTAATCTGCATGGACGAGTTTCAAATTATAAAAGTTATCTTTGATTTATTGTTGAATGTTATGGATTTTGTTATGAGTTTATTGGAGGACTGTCGTCGATGGCCTATGTTCCTAACGGAACGACAGGCCTAAGAAAAGAAGATATGAATTTTGATTGCAGTGCATCTCATCTAGATGTTGAACACGACGTGTAAATAGCAATACTTCATATTAGTTTGGATATCTCCGTTACCAGCAACAAACCCGTAGAACACGGGGGGGGGGGGGGGGGGTCCCCACTTTTTCTGAGTATAGTATTTTGCTATTAATAGTAAATTTCCTTTTAGATGCTGGTTGCCCCTCTCCTTTTGATGTTGTAAGGTCGAGCACGGTCAAATTCCAGGATTTTCACAGGAAATTAGTTTTTATTTGTTTGTCAGATAATTTTGGGAAGTTGACCCCCCCCCCCCCCCCCACTTTGGTCAGTTTTAGTTTTTTTTTTTTTTTTTTTCACTTGTCAGATTTTTTGGAAAGTTCCCCCTTTTGAAACCATTGCTAAGGGCCTGAGCAGTGGGGTATACTCATCGCATTCGTTACGCTTGCAATTGATTGCTTTCTGACCTCTGCTATCTGGAATGGACGACATGTAATCTCCCTCGGGAGATGACACATTAAGAATGAAGTTCTATCGTAAGACGCCATTTATTGACTGGTGGTCCTGGAAAACTACTCCAGTTGTATCTTTTACCATTATTTTTAAAAGAAGAATGACATATTTGGCGTGTAATCTGCAGGAATCATGTTTACGAAGCATTCTTAGTTTAAATGCCCAAGTCAAACAGGCGAATTGGTCGGCTGATCACTACTCGGCAGACGGAGAAAAGCATTAAACTTCAGTGGGTCGGAAGAATTTCTGATTTTGGTGCAATTAACAGATCTTTAACTTTAATTTAAAGCTACAAAAATCAGTATATAAAATCAAATTGACCAATATCAGAGTTGTCTGCGCTTTTCTAACTTTAAAACTGAAAAAAAAACCCTGAATTTCTTAGCATTTGCAGCAAACTCAATTCAAAGTACGCTTTGAAAATTACATCACCACTCCCCTGTCTTTGAAGCCATTTACTTCAAAATCTGACATACATGTATTAGGGAGATTTACTTGGTATATATTTGTATTTGTTGTACATTTTTTAGAGAAGAAAATTAATGTTATCGCAATGATTACAGTAACATATGTAATTTTCCGGGGATTTTTAGCGTGCATTGACAGACCAGGGGTCTGTTTATATATATATATATATATATATTTTATAAATATAGCGCCTATCTTTAATGTTGCTTGCATAACTTGCATAACTACCTAATTGGTAATTATTTTTTACTGTGAAATTACGTTAGAATTGAGTGGAACTTCGTTCGGGTCACATAATAATAACGATAAGAAGAAGAAAACTGACAAAAAACAATACCCCCTTCTGGCCCTTGGAAGGGTAGGCCTCCTTTTTACTGATTTCCTCAAGTTTTGATCCATGCAATATTTGGTAGAAGGAGAAAAGGAATAAAACTTAATAAAACAATGTTTTCCCTTTGAATGAGACACATAATTTTGATATTCAAATATTAATATCAATGAATTGATACATGTAATAAAACATAAAGGTTTCATCAGTTTGCCCCAATCCTCTTTTTAAATATCTTTCCATTTAACCATTTTTCTTTTTGCATTTGTTATTTACGAACACAGTAAATTTCATCAGTTTGAAATTTATTTAATTTAAATAAATTGCCATAAATTATCATAGATACGGAATATAAACAGGATTCTGAAACAAAATCTAGCAATTTACACTAATTAGTTTCCTTAAGTTTTGGTATCGTTGACTAGGAAAAATCCTTTTAAAAGAATACATGTTTGACATCGATGTACAAACTCCAGGTCAGTGTTAAGGAAGGTGACTATGACCGAACTAATCCTGGAATTGCTATTTAGGGTCATTGTCCCTCTGATAAGAGATTTTATTTTAAAAGAAATTG